TACACATTTTCTGTCTAAGTCTTCCCCCTCATGTCATGCTTGTAAAGCGACTATTCCCTCACAAAGGAATCCAGAATGGATGGCTCCTCAACAGCCTTAGATTCCACTCCCTCACTAACAATCCTGTTTGCCCATTAAGACCGAATGAACTTCCCTTGTAATGCAATCAGATGGGATCTTTCCTCCCCCCCAAGATTCTGAACGGTCCCAGCTCCCCCTCACATGATGATCACTACTACTTTGTCTTTTTACTGTTCCATTATCAAATAAGTATATGAGATATTCTAAATACCTCTAATAAAAGTAAGAGAATATGATTTTGAGTCAAGATGAATCCCTGACACAAATAGCAGGACATGAAATAACAATTTAGGTCAACCACCGTTGTTGAAAAGTATTTCTGAATATAAAATACCTTATATTTCCTATTCAATTATGTAATATTAAGTCCTTTAAAATGAGGGGACAAAGAGCATCAACCTAAAAACTGACAGAGAAACTAAGTCAATCCAAGGAATCAAAACAAAAGTTAATTTAGAACCAATTTCTAAAAAGCTTTGATTTTGTGATTACTAGTTAACCCTTAGAGTTAATCTCAATTGTTTAAAATTAGCTTAATTTCATGTTAGGTAAACTGAAGATGCTTGCAAATTATTTTATGCTATTTTTGTGCAAATCTTTTGTTAAATCCAGTCACATAAATGCTGGGTGATTTTTGAAGCCACATTTCCTTTTGATAATGTGACAAACACAGTGTTAATCTTCTTACATACAACTATAAAAAGTCATGGGTTTCGTTGCTTTAGAAGTATTTTCAACACAAATATTTTAACAACTAGAAAAATGTAGATGTACCCATGAACACCAGGAAAATTATAACAGTTTTGTTATCTTTCATATAATTTTATCTATTATAGGTTTACATTTTTATATATAATGTATAAATTATACAGTTTGCTAGTGTGCTAGCTTGCTATTTGTAAGCACAGACTTGATAAACTAAATAATTGCAAATTCAAAGTTTTAAATGACAATTTAATTAATTATGTTCTAAATCTGGGATTTTAATGCTAACATTGGTAATCTAAAGACTAAGTTTCAAACTATGCTTTTATGTATGCTGCTAGTAACAATATTACAATGGAACATTGGAACCATTGATTCTTTGGTATAAATTAATTTGAATCTGCTTTTAGATCGTGAGCATAGTTCATCTTTTTTGGACAGCACTGGGCATTGCTGAAGTTTGTGGTTAAAAAACCAAATTAATATAGAGACACTAATTAAGAAAAGAATGTCAATTTAAAACAAATAATTATGCAGCCCAGCATCTCAATTAAGGTCTCAGGCAGTCGACGTATTTCGGGAAAGCACTACTAGAATGCTAAAGTGCCATTACCGTCCACCACAGAAACCCATTATCAACCTGATCCTAGCCTAAATTGTAGCTGTTGATGGACATTGACAAAACAGTTTGCCAATATTAAGAGTAAAAAGTCTTACAACTAGCCAGGTTTTTTTCTAGAACAGTTTTTCACCATCCTAGTACATTTATCAATTTATCACAGGATCAAACAATCACTGGAGACAATGCAAGGTAACATGGCTGAAAGTAAAGGAGGTTGGGGCTTCACAAAGCTGAAGTCAGAACACGAACCAAGACCAGACTTTTCTGATCACAGTTCTGAAGGCTAGATAGTTAAGCAGAAACAATGCAAGGCAAAGTATGCAAAACTAGAACAGGAGCAGATTTCAGCATGCATGGTGGCCTCTTCTGACATAGTCTCATCCACACTCATTATTTGGACTGGCTGTGGCTAGACAGATAACATAGTCTATTACATGGATTTCTGGGCTACCAAGGTAGCCACAAAAGCTGCAGAATATCAGGAACTAGAAGACTAGAGAATCTTGTGAAGTCTAGACAAACATTTTTAAGATGGAAGAAAATTCATCTGGATTTGAAAAAGTGATGGCCACAATTTAAACCCATGCTGGTCAAAGTAGGTATAAATGTGAAGTTAGAGGTTCTCCTTTAACTTGTTGATGCGTTTACTTTGGGAAGAACAAGCTAAACCAAGATGAAGCAAATATTACTATTATGCTATTAAACTTGTTGCCCCTCAGCACTATGTACCACAGTTTTAGTACCTTACACCAATCATCCTCCGGGTAACATTTGCTAATTGGGTGCTGGATACCAGGGCTGATGCTATTATTATTCTGCTATTCTCCTCCTTCTCTTAAATAGCTTTGTCAGACTTCAGACTTCCATCACTTGAGACCAGTTCCATTATAACAGACATTAGGTGTATTTAGGTATTTGCCAGATAATAGAGTAAGGTTCTTAGGCATCAATCTGTACAGATTAGTTTAATCTGTTGTTGCTGGAAACAAGGTTTCCAGCAAGTAAAGTAGACAATAGTTTCAAATTACCTGCAATAAGGTTAAGCTATGGGCAGTATATCTTTTGAGGTGAGAAGAAAAACAAAATAGAACTCATGCATTCCCAATTATGTCTTTACCTTTACCAGATCAGGTAGGTATCTGAACTGAGATTCCAATTTCTCTAAAAACTATTTGTAATGGATTTGGTTCCATTTAAATGGCTTTATTTGTCAATGTTCTCTTAAATATTTTTGAATGCAGGATACAAAAGAAGTTCAGTTAGTAATGTTATTTCCTAAACCAAACAAAGCATGATTAATTAACATTTCAATATTGGATAGAAGTTTGTCATTTTCACACTAAAATAGGATTTCCAGGAGCAAAGTCAAACAATTCAAGATTTTAGAGACTCTATAAAAATGAATGCAATGAGCCCATGAAGTTAGAGACACAAAATGGCAAATACCTGTAGTCTGGTTCTAACTAATGCAACATTGTAGTAATATTTTTCAGAAAATATAGAAATGGTTTTCAGTTAAACTCTTATATGTCAACCTATCATCCAAAATATCAACTAAGGACTGAAGTCAGATCATCCTTCCCTTTAGCTTTTCCTAATATGAGAATACATAACATTAAGTTTTTTCTGTCACTCCTTTTCTCAAACTTTCATTTCATTCTGTAGATCAGCAGATATCATGGATAGAAGCATCGAGAAAGGAAGAGCAGTATTGGTTTTGTTCGTGATACAACAGGTATGATGTTATCTCATAAAATCCTAAACTAACTGCATTTCACAAACCTTGCAGAAATTCAGCAAAGCTACATTAAATCATCCATTATAACAACTGAAATGTATAGAGATGTCCTAAGAACGAACGCAAACTGAAGGAAAAGCAGAGCATATTAGAAGAGATACAGGAATCAAAAACTGTATGGAAGCAGTAGAGACAGGTCTTTAAAATTTTAACACCTACCTCTTCCAGAGACTACACTACACTGAAAGTAACATGCCTGAAAAAAAATCTGTTGTAATTTTATTATTATTAAACAAGAAAGTGCAAGTGAAGAACAATGTAACTGGATTTCCACTACTAAAACACTACAAGAGCCTGTGGATTTTTTTCCCTTTTTTTCTATTTACATTTAGCCTATATTAACAATGATATGCTGATTTCTAAGTCCTCAGTGTCCTAACTGACTTCACAGAAGCTAAATGTCAGACTGTGAATGAGCCTGGTGGCTAAGGTGTGTAGATTGAAGACTTTAGCTCAAGTTCTTCCTCACGTGAATACCAAAGTATTTGGTATAAAGCAAAACTGTTTCCACAAGAAATCTGGAAACCAACATCATAACACATAATCGCTCAGTGGTTAGGCATTCCTTCAATGTGGCATAGTTAGTGTGAGAGCTATACTCTGAATTAGATAAAAACAATTTGAATGTCACAAGCATTCACATAATTTCTTCTCCCTAGTTTTCAGAATTTTTCTCTTTTTTTAAAAATCAGATAAAATGATTCGGTTCAGCTTTTTTACTACTGTAAATACAGTTTTGGTTCAAAATAAAACTTATTTTTCACATCAGCCAAGTGGGAAAACCCAATTAACAAAGCTTTATGTCTAAATTTTTTGGTATTTACTGGTTCTTTCAGGTTTACAGATTGAAATATCATTTAAAGTCAGTGCTGCTGAACCATCAGCCTAACACGAAATGATTTTTTGTACATACAGCTGGGCCCATGTAGAACTTATCTCTACTAAGTAACACAGGATAAAATCTCATTAAAGGACACCAGCACTTCAAGGAAGCGCTTAAAGCTCTGCTGAACAAGGAACAGTGCAAACCCATACTTACACTGTTTTCCTGCATCATGGCCATGAAGAATTGTTGGTTTGTTTTTTGTTTTTGTTTTTTTTCCTGCAAGGCTCTCCTTATGCACATCGACTTCAGGCTGAATATCAAATATGAGGATAATTAACTTTCATGTACTGTTTGATAAAAATGAATTCAACACCCTAAAATTAATGGCAGTGATCTGGATATCTGCTCTTGTCCCAACTGATTTGATCCTGTGAAATGCTGCATTCTGTCATTAAAAGATAATGAAGGCAACTTCCATAACTGGAACACTTCCACTGACAAGACAGGAGATACCCAAGGTGAAGCATTAAATAGGCAAATATTAATTAAAATATGATATAAAAATTGGTAATTTTCAGCTTATTTTAAACAAACAATTGTTCAAACTGCTCAGTTAAATGCTAGTCCTTCCATTTGAGATGCCTTTTTCTGAAAATTATGTTCTTTATAAAAACTATCATAGTCTTTATAAATAAGCTATTTAAACTCCAGTGTAATGCACAACCTGTTTCAGGTAGCAAAATCTGTTGTGCATATTTCAGATTTAAACAGACTTCTTTTAAAACCATGAAGCTTTGTTAAGTCGCTTCAATTAAGATGCAGTAATTCATACTAGCTGAAAATCTTGTGCAACCTAGGGTTTGGATTTTTTTTAACTGCAAAAATATCTAAACTTTTCTGAAAATACTTATTAAAATATATAGGAAAAGTTCACTTTTTCCACAAAAAGTAGATAATAATACTTCAAGTATTTACAGTTTATTTTAATGAAAATTATTATAATTTTTCAAATGTGGGGATAAAATCATAATTAATATATCAACATTACTTAGTACAGGTTATGAAAATTCCAATAATTCCTTGTGTTCTATTGTAGTACCATAACAGCAAACCATCCTTCTTTCTACTCTAGCAGGCTAGAGGTGAAAGTATTTTTCACCATTAGAAATTGAGATTCTCGGTGTGATCTTTTCAGCTTTGCACGACGGTTCTGGAACCAGATCTAAAATTGAAAGAAAAGGCATGCTTTTCAGAAATACAGCACTGTAAGCAGAATAAGCTTTGAAACTTAAAAATACTGACACAGTATTTCGTGAGTATTTTTACAGTATTTTATGTATTGACAGTAGTTTGGAAGTTCAATACAAATCTAAAATCTGCAGATGATGACCTGCAATAATTTTAACGCCACTGATGAAGAAAATAATACCCCCAGCTTAACTGGAAAGTGAGGACCAGCATCACTGTAATTAATAAAAACCTAATATTAACTTCAGTGACACTGAATCAGACCCCAGAACATCCTGAGCATTTAGAATTCACACACAAGTCTTAAGGTGATATTTCTTCAGCTGCTTAACTAATCTCAGCATTAAGCTCCACATCAACCCCAATATAAGACTTGCATAAAACGCTTAATAAACATCAAGGTGAGGCCCAAATTCTAATGCTTATGATATGCATCTTAGCATGCTGGACTACCTGTAAATAATTAAAATCCCTGAGCAGATTTTGCTTTTGGCCAGATGAAGACATAGGCTCAAACCTTGATTTAACACATTATGCTCTACTGACAGTGTCACAAAAGGCATTCATACAAATTATTTCAATGTTTGTTTCACATTTGTTTTTCAAATATGGTGACAAGCATAATATAAACATGATTTTAAAATATGGAAGCTAATGATCAAGTTCTGCACGTGATAACAGGAGATTAACAGAGCAGGTATCATGGAAATATTATAGTGATGAATACCTCATCAACACTATGGAAGAATGTTTAAGATTTCAGAAGGAATTCCATGGCTTCCATTTCACAAATAATTGAAGCCATACCGCATGTATAAATGTGCATTGTTTTAAACTGAGATTATTAAAATTATTGCTACTGCTGTCAAACTACTTATTGATATAACCAGAGAGTACATACAGACAGAATTACAGAAAAGTTCAAATAAATTTTAATTACCTGGATCCTGTCTTCATCTAAATCTAATTTGCGAGCTAGCTCTTCTCTCATATCAATGCCAGGGTAGGAGTTCATTTTAAAAACATTTTCCAAGACTTCAATCTGAGGAGATTAAAACAGACTTGTTGAATAGTTATCACTACCTTCACAGAAGTAATAAAGAAAATAAATACAAAAACCAGTTCAGTTTGTTTCACAGGAGACTTCCCAGCAGGGTTTGCACAATTCTGATTCCATGCATAAACACAGCTCTACTGACATTAGCAACATTACTGTTAATTTATGCTAGTTCCGGATTACATTTCTCTCTGCAGAGGCATATCATACTGAATTAGTCAGCTATTCTAGGCTTCTACCAACATTTTACTAAACTACATTGTTATTAATTTATTAAATACTAAGAAAATCCCTACCTGGTTTCTAGTGAATGCAGTTCTTGGTCTTCTACCCCTGTACCAGCTCAATTCACGTTTGAAAGATAGCCTTTCAGTGACTGAAAAATATTTTTCACAGTTCAAAACTTTTTCCTCTTGCACTGGATTACTGTCAGCATGAAATAATGGATTTTCATAGCAAACAACAGGGATTTGCAGATGAGGATTACTGTCATCACCTAAAACTAGAAAAAGCAAGCAAACAAGAGCTTCAAACTACTGTTTTCAGTAGAAACATGAAAAATATAGACTTTTTAAAAGAGTAAAAGCTTGAGAGGTTACAAAACAGGCTGCTGACTTACCCAAGCTGGTGCATGCATCCATCCACGGTCTGTGAGGTTTCATGGCTGGAATGCCATCTTTTTTCTGCTCCAATCCCAGAATACTTTCAATGGAAAATGAGCACTGTGTGGTTTTATTTTCTACAAAACCAGACACTTTCCGAAGATTCTGAGATGCTGATGTATTAGCAGCACCTAGTGATGTACTTGCCATGCTTCCACCTTCAGCCAGCATAGCATGTATACTGTACTTGCATTTCTCCACAAGTCCTCCTTATAGTTATGTTGACAAGGGGGTTGGATTTGCAACGTCATTAATTAAAATCTTTTATTAGAAAGTTTTAGCATGTCAATGAAAACTCTCCCACCAAGAGGCACGAGGAGTTAATTGTTTATTTGTTTGCAAGTAATTAGCAACTAATGGTGACACTAGGGGGGCCACCAAGAGGGACAAAAAGTGTTATCTCTCCTAACCAGAACATCGACTTAACTTTCTCAAAAGAAGCTGTGCACAAATATAGTACTTCTCTTTTATTTGAAATCATTAATGTATAAAATCAGGTTTTTTAAGAACTTTATACTCTAATGGACTCCAGTTACCTAAACATAGCAGCATGATAGGAAACCAGTCAAGTAATAAGTAATCTCATTTAAGTGAATTTCCTTCCAAGGAAATTTAAAAAATAATCTCTTAATGCTATTAGGGTAATCCCGATGAAAATGCCTCTGTTTTTTCACATGCATATGTAATGGTGAACGTGGTCAATAAAACAACAATAGCTTTTGGCATAAGGCACTGTGCAGTGGGTTGGCAATGTTGTCAAAGCTCAGTGTAATTGCCTTCCAAGTGCCTGGATTAGTTAACAGGAACAGTTGCACCAACTATTTTAAATAATTCATGCATTCATTTTCCTTATTAAAATAACTTTGTTGCAGCTTTTTTGAAACATACAGTATGTGAAATTTCCTGATCATTCTTTACAACACAAAACCAAAACTTACAGTAATAGAAGCAGTACACTCAAATTTACTCGTTTAAAAACATCCTTTACTGCTAGCTATTCCTCCCTTCGTGTAAGTACATCACCAATAGAAATTTATTTAAATCCTACAGAGCAAACACTGACCAAGATCATAAGTAATGGGGAGAAAGGAGGTAAAGATTTTGTAAATAAGTTCAAAGTTTGAAAACAGAATTCTGATTCCATTCATTATAAAGAAAGTGCTGACTATAACATTTTCATATTTAAGGTCATCTGTCAGCCACACAGCACAATACATGTCACATGTTCAAAACCAGCTTTCGGTTCAGAATAACCTCTCCTACAGAGATTCCTCATTTTCTTATTTTGGACGAAGCTCTATTTTAGAACATGCAAAACTGAAAACAATATTTAAATTTCAGGATGCAAAAGCTATGCCTCTTAAATACAAATTTTAATTTGGAGCACATGATGTAGAAGCACATGAGCACATAGGACTGTGTGCTTTTAAAGGAAAAGCCTGGCCTATTATTTCTGGTTTTACTGTTTTCTCAGAGTAGTTTATTCTGTGTTATCAGTCACATTCACATGGCTAGCAACTAATATTAAGAAAATAAACAGTACCTCCATTTTGATTTTCTGTACATTTGTAAACAACCCAAGACTAATCTTTAGGAATAGACAGAAGCAGGAAAATTGCTAAGGAAATGGCACAGTCTAGAATTGACAATACTGTGCCAAGGGAGATCCTACAGAGAAAAATGTAATCCATATGTGGCTTTATATCAGAAAGATGTTTAGCTGAAGAATGTTGACTTACTGCACTGACTTTGTGTTGTGCAATGTGTGAGCGTCAAACGAAGCTATCAAAAAGAGTGACAATTCAAGAAGTGATCTTACCAAGGACACCTTATCAGCACCTATCAATGGATATTGAAGTGGCATCAATATGACTGCAATGAACACCTGCAAGCTAAACTCCAGCCATCATTTAATAGCCTCAGCAACCACAAAGTGTAGACATAAAAAAAGCACCCTATCTATGAAACCACTGCTTGTTCAGAATATTTGGTGAACCAGAGATCAGTGGGAAGCAGTGTTAAGCAAGGGCCTTACAACCCTTTATGTTTCAGTACAGCTGTTGCCAACAAAGCAACCTATGACCTTACCAAAGCAACAGGACACCTTTTCTTGACTGCAGGCAGTTATTCTGAGTATTCAGGCTGCACACCAGGTCCAGAGGTTACTAAAGAGGTAATGTAAAACCTCTTACATAGCAGTGATTGATAGATCAGTTTTCTGCCTCTACAGTGTCTACATGGAACATCAGGTTTAAAAAAAAAAACAAAAAAACTAATTAAAAAAATTCCCACAAAACACATTAAGTCAAAAAGAAAACAATATGTTTCCTTCTGTACTGAACTTGGAGCTGCTTACCGATTTCTCTATCCCAAAGAGGTAAAAACCATGATCACTGATAGACAGCCTCTTGGATCAAGAAACTAATGTGGACTTCAACAATACATGAAACCCTTAATGATTAGAATACAAGCAGCTAGTTTCTAAATACAGCCCACTATTTTTTTTTAAAGAACTTAAAAATACCAACACAAGCACTGATACAAAACACATTTCAGAAAATATTTATTTTTCCTGGATGAATATAAACAAAATTCACCTGAGCCACACCACTGAGACTCAGATGACCACATAATTCAAGTTCTAAAGTGGTAAACACCCTCAGAGGTGAAGCTTCTTCAGGAAGCTATCAAGAACTATCAATAAAGACAGGCATACGTGGTGGCAAGAGAGACGCTCACAAGAGGCACGTATCTTCCCAAAGCTAACCATTAAATTAACCAAGTAATTATAACTTACTTCTGCTCTGAGATTATGGAAGATTGAAAAAACACTTCTTCAGGGTAGTCTGCTTTTAACTCACAATTGGAAACACTCCTTCATTCAGAATTTTAAAATTACTTTTCAGGGAAAAGCTTGGTAGCTCTCAAAAACAATCTCCATAAAATAGACCAAAACCAGTTATCAGACACATGTCAGAAGCTAATCAGATACTGCCACCTACTGAGGCCTGCCCAGCTGTTAAATTAATTCAGCAATGTTACCTGAGTAAGAAACTGTGCTATTATTCTATGATTCTAAAACAACATATACATAGAGGTAAATCTACTGGTCTGTCTGAAGGTCTAGCATTCAAATGTTCTATATTTCTTTGAAGAGAAGCTTGCTTAGTTGTAGAGGAAAGCTATTCGTTATCAAGATAAACAGTCAATAAACATTTCCATAAGAAATGAGGATGAAAATATATTTTCCACAGGGCAGAAAACAAAAAAAGATTTAGATCCAAGAACACATGGCAGTAAAGAACCAGATTAAATTTCTAGGAATTCCCACTGAAAGGGTAAACAGACCTTGAGCTGACACCCAAAACCCCCTGTATTTCATTATTTTGGCCCATTAGAAGGGGTCGATACTTTCCCTGCAACCCACATTAAATTACCTATAGAGTTTTAGCTAAACACCACTGCAGGGGAAATTAGAGCAACACAACAAACATTAAGTTGAAAATCTTAAGTAATCAATAATAGGAGAAATCAGTGCTCCTTGGATATGCAAATCCAGTCTTCTTACAGCATCAGATACCTGATGAGGAAGAAAACTAATCTCCCTTTCAGATTTTGCACCACTGGTTTTTTTTTCCAGGGACAGTAGAGTTCATGTGTTTAGTAGATGAAGCTCTTGTTCTTTAGAAATGCGAAGCCTCTAAGGACTCTCTTTATACCAGCTGAAGAGACCACACCAAGAGTTCTTGGTGGCTTTGGTCTGAAACCCCAATGCTTACTGTTGCTACCACTTGGTCTTCTCACCCATTGCTCTCCACTGCCAGGTCACCTTTCATAACAGTCTGTGCAATATTTTCAGCTTTTAAAAAAGGTATAAATGGTATATATAATCTTTTTTGATAACTTATCACACTCAAAAAAAAGCCTTTCATCTCACCCCTCCCTCAGCTTCTTTACCCCACTGCACCAGTATTTCACCACCTCTGATATTCTGCTGCATACAGCTCCCTTTCAAATAAGTTTTGAACTTCAATAATAAAGATTATATTCAAAGACAACTTCAAAACTCATAAGGTTTTTTTGGGCAAGAATATCTCAAAACTGTTAATACCAATTTTCACAAAACATGACTAAAAGCAGTTAGCTATTTCTTGACTGAAGTAAAAGCTATGTTGACCCAGGGAGATTAAGTGAACACAGGTAAATACAAGGTAAATCCAAGGGCGGCACGCAAAAGTCTGAGAAACAGTGTGTTAAATAATGTGTAACACGCAAATAAAGCCTTACCTTATCCAGAAAGTTACTTTGACCCTCCATCAGAGGCAAAATGTTCTCTCCATTAGGCGACAGGTCTGGAATCCCCTCAAGAGCCGCTGGCTTCTACTCTCCCTGTTTTTGCAATGCCAAGAGTTACTTCTCCACATCTTTAAGGCCTCTTAGTAAGTGTTTTGCAGAAAGAACAAAAAAACACACAAGCCCACAAATCCAAATAAACAAACAAAATCACACACTAACAAAAAGCCTAGAATGCTGAAAAAAGTGTAACATTAAACCCACGCTTATTAGAGGGTTCAAAGGAATTCTTCAAGTCATTACTATCAAATCTCATCTGTTGCTGTCAAATTTGTATCTCAAAACTTTTGGATGCCTTGTAACATTTGTAAAAAATATACACAAAAGGTGAGAACCAGACCGTAATATCCTACAGCATGTTTCAACATAAGCGATCTATTAAAAAAACCTGAATACTACCTCAAAGAACCCCTGGTATACTCTAAAATTGTTAGAGAGGCCCCTCTCTTGCTATAAACCAAACTGAATCACTAAGATCAACAAAAACAAGACACATTTTTATGCTACATGTCAGCTGAGATATTAAAGATATGTTGGTTAGTGTTTTGTTTTTCTTCTATTAAACATTTAATTCTCAAAGAGCTGTTCTCTATTCACAGCAGCGTAAGAATTTTTCTTTTCTTCTGCCACCTACAGCTGTACATACGCAAAGCTAAGTAAACTAATTCTGTTTCAAGTTACTACCTTCCTGAATTCTGCTAGGGAAATGCATCTTATAGTATAAAACAGAGAGCATTTCTTACAGAAGACTGCTGTAAAACTTAGTCACAAGTTAACTGATCCCCAAACCAGAAAGCTATGCATATATATACAGATCATAAACCAATGCTAGTGTTGTGTCACATAATTACAGATACAAGTCTCGGTCCTT